AGTGAGGGAACGATGCAGCCGCCGCCGCAGCAGCCTGTGGTCTCTGCTATTGTGCCCAAGGAGCACAAATTTCTGGGACACGCAGGCCCTGCGGCACCGCTGCTCCCGGCCCACCCCCATACCACAGGAAGGAGGAATGGATTATTAAAAAAGGGTATTTAGTTAGAAATTTAGGATAAGCAAAAAGTGTACATTGTCCCAGAGTGGGGGAGGGGACAGGGGAGGTGGCACGGGGGGGATTGGCGAATGATGACTTTGATGGCTGGAGTTCTGCTTTAACTGTGTGAACTTTAAGTATTGTGTGTGTGTGTGTGTCTCTGCATTTGGGAGATTTTCCCTCACTTCCTGTCCCGCTGTTTTGGGGGGTTTAAAGTCGTTTTCTGTCCAACAATTCTGATTTTTAGCACGTGTGCCTGCCAGGTACGCCGTACGGGGGCCCCATGATTCCTAATAGAGGCGGCAACCTCGGCCCTCCGGCTGTTGTGAATCTACAAATCTACTTCGGGCCTCTGGGAGTCATGCCTGTGACGGGCAGGGCTAGTTCACAGCAGCCCAGTGCTTTCCGGCATGATTCGGTGCCGGAACACACTGGAGCACATCCTGGCCGGCTCACTGCATTCTGGGGTGGGGCATTGAATTCAATGGCACCGCAGCCACGCCCCCCCAGCCACAGTGCAATCACCTGGAACGCACGGCACCTGTGATCAGAAAAAGCAGCATTTTTTTCCTGATAGCACCGGACCGAAACGTAGGCACTGATGTGCCCCATGGTCCGGTGTGGGCGTTTGCACTGTGGCGGAGGGGGGGGCGTGGTGTGGTGTGGTGTGGCGCCATTGAATTCAATACACCGCCCAGCCCCCCGCCCCAGAATGCAGTGAGCCGGCCAGCATGCGATCCAGTGCGTCCTGGCACCGAATTGTGCCGGAATGCACTGGGGCTGGTGTGAACTTGCCCTAAGTCTTACAATGCCTCCTGGGACTTGTAGTTCTATCACAGCTGGAATGCTGAGGGTGACAACCCCTGAAAGACACAGAAGCTATTTGGATTTAAGCACACATATCATTTCAGTTCTGTGGAGGAGCATGTGACCTCCCAGAATGCAATGCTCCAGCCTGAGTAGCCAATCACTGGGCCTGAACTTACTCCCATGAGTAGGAGGAGGAAGCTAACCCTGTGTAAGCTCCAGAACAGAACTCACACAGGGTCTGGGTTCTGGTGGGTCAGGTGAGTATCACCGGTGATGGTATGTGGGGGGATCTTAGAAGAGAACCTGTCACCTTGCCCTGAATGGTCCTAGTGACGGAGTTACAATATAAATCTGTGACCGGCAGCCGTTTTCTCTGATCATCGCTCCGTGCTCGTTCACTAATCTCTCCCCATCTCTGCAGGAACCGGCGACCGCTCCCCAGCCGGCAGAGGACAGCTTCCGTCCGGGCTCTTTATTCCGACAACTGGCCACACAAGATGAAGACCTGCAGGCGCCCTCCTACTTCAAACTGGGCTGGCTGTCCAGCATGACCAAGTGCCCCCCCCCCCGAACCTTGCCGTGCTCCTCCCCCATGAATGAAGAACTGACAATGACACATTTTTATTTTAAGCAAATTAAATAATTTTATTGTGCAGTAATCCTCCGTTCACACCGCTTGCGGCTCCGCCTCCTTCTCGGGTATACATGATACAAATGCAATCAAGTCTCAGGTTCTACAGCTGATTTATGACATGACATCGCTCCGCCGTTCTTCAGCAGGAAGGTGTAAGGTGCACCGGCCAATGGTAACCAGACTTCCATCAAGTGTCAGCCCTCCCCCACGTGATTTGTGATAGAGCTGGACGATTGTGCGCTGAGCCATCTGGGTATGTTGGGGCTCCAGGGTGACGATTCCTTCATGTCCATTGGCTGGTCCCACTCAACCCGCCGAGTTCTCCATCATATATAAAAGAAGTTTGAGGCCCCTCCTCCCCCCTCCTTTGTATTGCACACAGCGTATGGGCAGACCAAGGATGCCAATCACAAGAGTCCACCACAGCAAATCATGAGAAGAAGATGAAGTCCAGGCCGATCCTAACCACTGTCCACCATTATACGGCAGCACCCGAGCTTGGCTCCCAGGCTGATGAGGAACATGCTGACCTCACTAGTATGTTGCTGTCCCTTGACCGTCCAATCACGGGCTTGGGGGGCCAAGTTGTGTTACTTAACTACAGCAGAGGACATTCAGGGCCCTGGGCTGGTGGTAAGTTGGGTGATGTAAATCTCAAGCCTGAATAAATGTGTGGTTATCAGTTTTGGGTGGACTAACCCTTTAAATGTGGTTTCCCACTCGGCCATTGCTGCATGGAGGTCAACGTGCTGTATTGTGGGCACTGACATGCCCATGGGCTGCCAACACACAGCAGCAGAAGGAAGACCAGACCTGCACACAGCCTGTACTTTGTGGTGCCCCGACCCTCGGCACCGGCTGTGCACTGGGGATGGGCAATGCAGAGGGGTAACTCGTGCATGTTGTACCGGAGACCCCACATATGTCATATTCAGTGTCTCTGTAATGGAACTGAGCGACCTGTGCTGAGGACAGCTGTGAGAAATGAAGTCTAATCACCATAGAGTAGTGTACATCCATCTCTGCCACGGAATGTTCCACTGCTATCCCAAGAGGACCCATAGAAGTATGACACCCGGAGGGTAAAACACAAGGAGGTCTACCCCAAAGGCCCCATGAAAGTAAGACGCCCGGAGGTCTACCCCAAAGGCCCCATGAAAGTAGGACGCCCACTACCCCAAAGGCCCCATGAAAGTAGGACGCCCGGAGGTCTAACCCAAAGGCCCCATGAAAGAAAGACACCCGGAGGTCTAACCCAAAGGCCCCATACAGGTAAAACACCCGGAGGTCTACCCCAAAGGCCCCATAGAAGAGACACCCGGAGGTCTAACCCAAAGGCCCCATGAAAGAAAGACACCCGGAGGTCTACCCCATGAAAGTAGGACACCCGGAGGTCTAACCCAAAGGCCCCATGAAAGTAGGACACCTGGAGGTCTATCCTAAAGGCCCCATGAAAGTAGGACACCTGGAGGTCTAACCCAAAGGCCCCATGAAAGTAGGACACCTGGAGGTCTAACCCAAAGGCCCCATGAAAGTAAGACACCCGGAGGTCTAACCCAAAGGCCCCATAGAAGAGACACCTGGAGGTCTACCCCAAAGGCCCCATGAAAGTAGGACACCTGGAGGTCTATCCTAAAGGCCCCATGAAAGTAGGACACCTGGAGGTCTAACCCAAAGGCCCCATACAGGTAAAACACCCGGAGGTCTAACCCAAAGGCCCCATAGAAGAGACACCTGGAGGTCTACCCCAAAGGCCCCATAGAAGAGACACCTGGAGGTCTAACCCAAAGGCCCCATAGAAGAGACACCTGGAGGTCTAACCCAAAGGCCCCATAGAAGTAGGACATTTGGAGGCCATGGCCTGACCTACACTGCTATGGAGAGCTGTGAGTAGCAGCAACACAATCCTGCATTTGTATAAGGCGATCACAGCGTCCCCTCCGGGATTAGCACCTTTTGACCCCCATTGACATTCCCCACCTGGCGATACGTTCACATTCCTTTCAGCCGCCCAGAAGAGGTAAAAGAACTCCCACAATGCAAAGCGCCGGGGAGCCAGAAATAAGGTATCTGTACCTATTCCAACCCCCCGCTAAATGAACATTGAACCGGGGGGGGGGGTGTCACTCAATCACTATACTTGAAGTAGCTCGTTGTTGGCCTTTCACCATAAACCATCTTCTAAAGCAAACCTGTCACTCCTCCACCTTGCTCGGGGCTCCTGATTTTAGGTACCTCCAGGAATGTTAGTCTCTTGTACGGAGGCCGTGTCTGGTGACCCCGGCTCTGGACCAATCATCAGCACCTGTATATCTCTATGGAGAGCGCTAATAATGAGGAGCGGGGCTGCACAGAAATATTTGGGGGGGGAAACCAAGATCTCCAACTACTGTACAAAATCATCTCTCACGGTCCTCCAGCTCGTCTCTGGAAACTGGTCCAAGTGTTTTCTGGCCAGTCCTCTCCCAATGTGCAGCTTTGTGCCGGGCGGCTCATAATCGCAATCCCCCTTTGTGGGCACATGGAAGAGGTTTTTTTGGGGGGGGGGTTTTGTTTAGCACAGGCGATATCGGTAACTGGCTCCAACACCCCTCAGTACATAGGGACCCCGGGACTGAGACGAATGGTGGCTGCCACTGGTAACAATACCACTTGCCTGGCTGTCCTGCTATAGCCGTGGCTTCAGACACTGAACAGGAGTCCTGACATTGCTTGGACAACAAAGATGCAGAGTACATGCGTGGCAAAGTACTGACGCCACAGACAGCCCGGCAAATAGCATTTTCAGACGCAGGTCAGTAACAGAAACCTCCACAATGCTCTCAGTACAGGTTCTCTTTAAGGCCTCATTCACATGAGAAACGGCCCGGCACGTACAGATCCATGCTGCGTGCACGCTCGTATCGGGCAGCTCCCGGGAAGGACAGGTGCTGCGAGTGATTATACACGGCAGCCCGTCCTTCTCTATGGGAATACGCCTCCCTACGCTCACCCATCCTTGCGGGTGTCCGTACTCGTACGCTGACAAGGTGGATCCTGTCTGCGTCCGAGCCGGGACACCCGCACCGACCTGCACTTGGGGTGAGCGTAGGGAGGTGTACGGCCGCGTATTCCCATAGAGAAGGACGGGGGCTGCCGTGTATAATCACACTTAGCACCTGTCCTTCCCGGGAGCTGTCTGTGCCGTTTCTCATGTGAATGGCTTAAAGGAGAACTATGAGGGGGGGGGGGGGGGGGGGGTATACTGAGCTTAGGGTGACGGGAGGACGCTAGTTTGTGTCCTCCCGTTACCCTAAGGAGAACTATGAGGACAAGCCCTGACCCCATAGTTCTCCTTTAAGCCTCGGATATCTGCTCCTTCATAACATGTGGCCCAAATGTACCCAAAAACAGAGATCTGATCAGCGTATCACGGACACCATTCAAGGGCGGACTTTCACCTGTGTCCAGAAGCAACTTAAACCGGTCATACAACCCAACACACCACACCCTGTAATGACGGCAATTTCCCCCAACACGTGATTACACAACGGATTCCTCTTCAAGGCCCCACAGCCAGTTCCTGTTAGAGATGGAGGTGTCACGTGAGCTATGGACAGGTGTTAGCAGGCCACGCCTCCATTTTGTACGTCCAGTAAAACCCATTTCCTGGTGACAACATGGCGGCTTTCCTATGGTTGCTGTACGCCGCCATGTATAGGCGCCAGGAGAGGAGAATCACGGAAGGGCAAGTAATTCAATTCTCCACTTTCTTGGAGTCCATTGAGGGACACAGGGATTCAGAGGCCGTCCGGTTATACTGCCGCCTGTAGGACAATGGCAAACAAGCCCAGGATAACTCCTCCCACTCCCAGCATGCCTCAGTTATGCTAAAACGTAGCACCCTGGGCATGATCCGGTGGGGACCCGTGTCCCGCAAAGGCAGCCAAACTCCGGCCCTCCAGCTGTGGTGGAACTACAAGTCCCATAAGGCATTGCAAGATTATTACAGCCACCGGCATGACTCCTGGAGACAGATGCATCATGGGATTTGTAGTTTCAACCGCAGCTGGATGGCACGGAGTTTGGCTACCTCTGCTCATTGGGCTCCAAGAAAAGGATTTTATGGCCGGTACGAAAAATGTAATTTTCTTTCTCACCCGTTGGGGGACACAGGAAGTCATTACTGTTGGGGTGTCCCAACACCCAGGGAACACCTACAAGCCCACAACCAAACCTTGGAGCAAGCCATCAGAAATATCAGACTGTTCCCCAGCGGAGCAGAGAGAAGGCGGCCGTGCTCTTTGGACACCAGCATAAAACTGAGGCATGCTGGTAGTAGGAGAGGTCACACTGAGCTGGCACACCATTTCTTTTTGCTTGCCAGCGTCCACTCCTCCTGCAGGTGGCAGTATAACCCGACAGTCTATGGATTCCTGTGTCCATGAACAAGAAAGAAATGGACATGATCTTTTTCCATCCCTAGCTCATGGGGGTCATAGAAGCAAGCCTATTGATTCGTTGGCTGCTTGTCCATACGCTATGGGCTCACAGAAGCAAGCCGCCGGGTTGCTGGCACGTATCGGGAGCAGCAGCTTAAACCAAACGCAGGAAAAAGCCGTGTGATTTAATGATGAGCGCCCCTTTACAGTCCTTCATCTGTATGAACAGTCCATTGTAAACCCGGAACCCCCCCCTCCCCCATCACTGGAGCAAACCGGGAGGTACGGCATGGCTTTAGTCCAGCACCAGAGAGGACTGCGCTGCTGGGAGAATGGCCGGCTATTCAGCTAGAAGGCGCCGCCCACAAAACATAAAGGTTCTATGTACATAGCTGTACGCACTTATTTCAGGCAGCGACGGGCGGTACTGATTGCAATGACCGTTTGAGTATGGGTAACGGACCGCTCCGGACACAACGTTTCAGCCGTTCCTCGAGCCAGTCACATGACCAGCGCAACGTCTTCCAGAAACAAATACAGCAAGTCCAGCTGCCTTGATTTATTTTCTATAGATACACCGTGACCCGGATGAATGAGAACCTCCCCAGACGTGACCCGGATGAATGAGAACCTCCCCAGACGTGACCCGGATGAATGAGAACCTCCCCAGACGTGACCCGGAGGAATGAGAACCTCCCCAGACGTGACCCGGAGGAATGAGAACCTCCCCAGACGTGACCCGGAGGAATGAGAACCTCCCCAGACGTGACCCGGAGGAATGAGAACCTCCCCAGACGTGACCCGGAGGAATGAGAACCTCCCCAGACGTGACCCGGAGGAATGAGAACCTCCCCAGACGTGACCCGGAGGAATGAGAACCTCCCCAGACGTGACCCGGAGGAATGAGAACCTCCCCAGACGTGACCCGGAGGAATGAGAACCTCCCCAGACGTGACCCGGAGGAATGAGAACCTCCCCAGACGTGACCCGGAGGAATGAGAACCTCCCCAGACGTGACCCGGAGGAATGAGAACCTCCCCAGACGTGACCCGGAGGAATGAGAACCTCCCCAGACGTGACCCGGAGGAATGAGAACCTCCCCAGACGTGACCCGGAGGAATGAGAACCTCCCCAGACGTGACCCGGAGGAATGAGAACCTCCCCAGACGTGACCCGGAGGAATGAGAACCTCCCCAGACGTGACCCGGAGGAATGAGAACCTTCACAGACAATCACATGCATATCCACTGCCCTGGCACCTGGTCTACTTGTGCAGTTCTCCTATCCTGCACTACAGAACACCTACGCTTCTCCTTATCTCCATAAGGTGTTCTGTAGTCCGGCAGGGCTGACAACACTTCGTGGTAGGGATGCACCAATCCTAGTATCTGTTCCGATACGGAGTACTCCCCATACCTTCCCCAATACCGGAACTTCCAGTCAGAGAAAGGATTTCCGCTGACCTGCAGTGCCTTAGGGGGATCATAGAGCCGGCTTCCCGTGCGATCAGGAAGCTGGGCGGCGAGTAATGACCCGCCTCCCGATTGGCCGGGAAGCCGGCTGAATGATGATTGCCCAGGGAACAGGCAATCAGGAAGCCTGGAGGCGGGTCAATGCTCACCGCCTGGCTCCCTGATTGGTCGGGAAGCCGCCTCGCTGCTAATTGTCTGGGATGGCGGTTTGCCGGCCACGCACAATCAAGCCGGCCAGACAGTATGGAGCCAGCTTCTCGGCCAATCAGATTGCCGGGGGAAGCCGGCTCCATGCCGAGGGAAGCAACCGGTATCGGTACTCGGTAACGACGATTACTGAAAGCAAAGTATCGGCACTCGTGCTTCATACCGAAAAACCGGGAGCGAGGCATCCCTACTTCTTGGCGTTTCAGAGCAGCGGAGGCGGCGTTGTCAGCGCACTGGATTTAAGGCAGATCCAACGGGTATTTTTCGGCACTTGCAGCCTTTTTAAAGAAACCAAACGTGCGAATGTATTGCAGAGACGTACGGAATATGTTTCTCTTTATTGTACCCAGACATGAACTTTCATTTAAAGGGGACCTGTCACCGGGAGCTGCCCCTGCTGACTTGGTGAAAGCTCTGGAGGTCTCACCCAGGCACCGGTCTAGGACAAGCCCGAGCAGACCAGGCGCCCGGCCCCATGCTATTCGACGCCCCTTGTTCAGTGTCAGCAGCCTAAACTTCCTGTCCCGCCCTTTCCTGTACAATAAACTAACATTAGGTGAGAAGCGCCGAAAGCTGCGACCACGAGGTGCTGGGTGTGCAAGTGTCCCCCCCCCC